AGCCGCCCTGAGTCCCCTGGATTCTTCCACCAACTGTGTACTATTACTATTATTAGACTGTGTGATGTCACAGTAAGCAGGTCCTGCAAGGACGATGTTCCAAAGGGCAGTGCCCAGTGATGTAATTAAGCATGGATGCATTGAACATCTATCATGTTTGTACAGTGTATGCCATTCCAAGAATAAACACCAAGTCTAACAAAAGAGGAAAATATGCACATACTCCATTTTCAAAGCAGTGCTCTCACTCTACAGATTCCTCCCCTTAGGGCTGGGGAAGAAAAGCCAGGCCTGAAACATCCCTCCTCTGAGTTCTCTGCTGGGTCTAAACTTCAAAAAGACAAAAAAGATGTGCTTGGCTTTGAACCAAAGGCTTGTCCCTTTAAGGCTTCCCGCTTTTGTGAAAGAGGTGGAGCCTGAGGGGAGGAGTCTTGTCCCAGAGGTATAAAAGGCCCCAGTAGGGTTTGTTGGAGCAAGAATGTCTTGGGGTTCCTATTTTAGGCTGAAGCATGGTGTGCCATTCAGAGATATTGGACTGCCGCTCTTACCAGCAAGCTGTCAGAGGGTGATGGGAGTTGTCTTCCAACCCTTCTGGGGTTTTGTGTTCTATGCTGGGGAAGGCAGCCGTCATGTGTCTTTCAGTTGTATTTTTTAACCCCAATATCAGTCAAAATATACCAGTCTATTGCCAGGCTTGAAAAAGATTGCTCGAGCGTTCTTTGTACTGCCATCACATCCTCACCGCTATTAATGCGCTTACCTTCAACCCCGCTCTGATTGTTTTGGCCCCGTGTCTTTCACAGGTCCCAACACCCTCGTTCAAAAACCATGGGACATATTAATGTCAGTTGAAAAATGGTATCTGTCACTCGCATCCAGAATATTTATTTATTCTGAGCCCACAACTCTGGGTTACAGTCGTGCTGGTCCACTGCTAAACCACCATTCCATTCTATTGATCTCTCGCTCAGATCTCTCGCTCTCAGCTTCTGTCTCACCAAGGAAATGACAAGTGGCTGTTATTTGTCTTCAGTAATTCTCAGGAAATGGCTCATAGATCAAAAGCTAATCTTCATTTCCTGTGGTCGCCCACAACTTAAGGTTGCATCTGATGTACGTTATTGTGCTTGGTTTTGCTCTCTGCCAGGGGGACTGACTAGAGTTCGGAAACATCGGTGATTGTGTCTGAAGAGCTGGGAATAGTTGCGATCCCATCACATAATGAGGTTGAGTGTCTTCTTAAAACTAGGAGAGTGTTGTGTTTGTCCACAACAGCACTGGCAGCGCTCTGCGGGTATTTCAGGCAAGGGGCAGAACTAGGCCTAAATCTGGCATAATGTCGGGAAAACTAATTATAACAAGCATGAAGAGGATAGGGCCAATTTTCATATCCAATGTGATGCAATTTGGGTCCAGGTTTGGTACAAAAAAGTTATGGGGGCACCGAGGTTTGGGGACGACTAAGACCTATGACATTTTCCCACATACGAGATGATTATTTGGGTGAGGAATCAATGCCAACCCAGAGATGGGAAGACCTGGGAAAAATGTGAAAAATTGGGAAAACCCGGTAAAAAATGGAAAAATTGTTTGTTCCTCATTTTCCCCATTTTTTTCCAAGCCTTCCCATCTTTAACAAATGAATTATTTTAAATTTCAATGTTATGGCCAAAGCTTGGTGTTGGTCCGTGCATCAGGACATTAAAACCTCCCCTTGCTTTCCCTACATGACTTGCCATGTACAATTTGCAGGCCCCTAATTGGGGCCTCTTCTGGCTTTTCCTGTAGGACCCTCCGCCAATATCCCCCCCCCCTTATGTATCCCTCCTTCGTTCACCTTCCCGATTCCTCGCTCTGTCTTTGACATTTAAGTACCTGCTAATGAGCCACACAGGCCCCGGCATCTCAACTATGGGAGGCGGTGAGAAACACAAGGAATGCAATATTAGCAGCGGAGTCACGGGGAGAAAAGCCTTTGAGAGCCAGGGGGAGATCAAAAGCCTATTTGAAGCTCATTAATGGTGCTCAAGCACCAGTTATTTCCTTTCCCAGGGACAGGGTGGCCCTCTCTCTGGTTTGTGGCACTGCATGACCCAGGCGGTACAACAGGATGCTTCGGCCCCCTTTCCATCCACCCCCATGACATTTTTGGATGCCAGTGAACCAAAACAGCTCTGAATTTCCATGGGAGTCGACATGGAGACCTGACTCCCAGAACACTCCCTCGTAAGGCAAGACAAGTAGATTGAGATGTTCACACTTTGGCCATAGCATCCGAAGGTGTAAAGGTAAAGGTTTTCCCTTGACATTAAGTCGTGTCCGACTCTGGGGGTGGTGCTCATCTTCATTTCTAAGACGAAGAGCTGGTGTTGTCCGTAGATGCCTTCTAGGTCATGTGGCCAGCATGACTACATGGAGCACTGTTACCTTCCCACCAAAGCAGTACCTATTCATCTACTCACATTTGCATGTTTTTGAACTGCTAGGTTGGCAGAAGCTGGGGCTAACAATGGGAGCTCACCCCATCCCGTGGATTCAAACTGCCGACCTTCTGATCAGCAAGTTCTACAGCTTAGTGGTTTAACTCGCTGCGCCACCATGGCCCCAAAGATATAACTCCCTAGAAAAGACAGTCATACTTGGAAAGGTGGATGGCGGCAGGAATAGAGGAAGACTATTTCAAGTGGATGGACTTAACCAAGGAAGCCCGGGCTGCCCTGACTTTGGTGAATAAGGACAGGGTGACTTGAAGGTTTCTTGTTTATTCACCCCAATTTCGCATCCCTGATGTGATAGCCTGACTTACACCTCCTTGCGGACTCCTGGGCCAATTCAAGGCGGTAGATGGACAGCCGGTTGATCCCGCCGCAGATGTTGCTCTTCTCCCCCTTACACTCCATGTTGCACTCAGAGTTGCTGACGTTGGCGGCTTGGATCTTGTGCCCACAGTAACACTCGGCCCCAAACTCCAGCCCTGCATAGAGGTAACCCCTGCCAGGAGAACAAAAAGGGCATTCGGGAGGGTCAAATAGTTACGTTCTGCTGCTGGATTGTCTTTCTTTGAAGGCCAGCCAAACAACTAAGTTCTACAGGGAGGTTCTGGGAGTTGTAGTCCCCCAAAAAGGAATTTCCCCCAAGCTCTGAAGCAGATGGGGGATAGGAAAACTACACAATCTTGTCTCTCAAGGGTCAAGAAACTTGAACAGGAAGAATCCTGGAGTGATGTGAATTTTCACAGTTCAAGGAATATTCTTTGAAAAATTCACTCACAGTTTCTGGGATGATCATTGTTATATTAGAGTAGTGCTTTGCCTGAAAACTGGCCAGGTATTCAGCCCCGGGCCTAGTTTCCTGTTATCATCCCTGCAGTTAGAAGCAAACCTTAAGGTATCCCCTTTCGTGTGTGTCCCAGACTATAATATAGGAGCCCAACTGCTCCTTTCCAGCCTTAGACAGGCTGACATCTCCATGCAAGTGGTCCCCCAATGATTGCAAATGTAATCTTTCCAGACCACGATGCTGGGAGAGTGTGAATTAGGAAGAAAAATAACCCCAGGAAGAAAGGCACCTCACTCTACTGCCCCAAGCCAGCAGTGGAGATATACATGTGACACTTTGGAATGAATGAAGCCCCCGTCACGGCTTTGCCACCCTACCGTTCAGCACAGTTGTCCTGGCAACGGAACAATGTCATTTTTTTGTAGTCAAAGAAAGACACGCCACGCAGGGCTCTCCGGTGGGTGTTGTCCACATAACAGCCGATGTATTTTGCTGGGGAGGGAAAAACAAATGGTTAAAAGTGCCCATCACAAAAGCAGTCACTCTCTTGACATGGCACAAGTGTTATGAATAACTTCCCCACACTGGAAAAGAATATCCCACTTCTGACACCACATTGTCATGAATGACTTTTCAATAACTTTAAAGCATAGGCTCTTTTTATTGCAATTTCCAGTGTGAGAGGGTATATCAGATTACAGAAAAGCATTTAGACATACAGATATACAGATTCTAAGCAACTATATTGGATGTACAACTTACAGTTACACTGGGCTAACAAACAAAGAGGAATTACATTTTCACTCAACATTCACACACATGAACATACATTCATCCTCATGCACCCAAATATTATTATATCATTTTCTCCCTCCTTGGAGAAGCACCTGTTAGGCCAGACCCTGCTTGTTTTCCTGCAGACTGCCAACACATAGTTCCATAACTTCAAAACTTCTTTCCCTAAGAACAATGCCAAGGACCACATCTCTGTTTTCCATACAGCAGAATCTGACTCCCTGCACAAAATCTAGGCCTCCAAAAGTGCATTTCTTCCTCATCCTTTGAGAAAGAAGGCCAAAGTGACCAGACTGCTCCCTTGCAAATCTGCCACTCCATGGTACACTATCTCTCTCCTTCCCATGGAGCAGAGCATAGCGGGTGGCCCAGACTCTTCAGATCTGCCACAATTTGAGCATTATTAGAGTCTTTTATAGAAATATTCTGCTGATGTAGTCCCAAAGTTGTAAATTAATGATAGACTTCTTCTATCCTGGCTCCATCTCAGTTTCGTGGCCAGATGTTGACTCTTTTTGATTGGTATTGACAAACACAAAGTTTGTGCTGACTTCCTTCTTAACATAAGGAATGTTGCAAAAATATCCTTAACTTGAAAGAACCTTGTCTCAGTTCTTATCAGAGTTTACTTTTCAGTTCTTATTAGCAACTTTTAATTACGGTTCAACAAGCAGGTTTAGTCATTGCAGGCCTTGGTCTTTTACTGGTGTTTCCAAAATTATTAACTCTATCCATTCTTTCATTCTTCCATTCATTCCCACACATATATCAAATTCACATTTCTCAAATATGCATATTAAAATTTTGTGACACAAGAAAGCCAGGAGGTGGTAGGCACAAGAACTACCAACAGCATAGACCTCACATTGGCATTTCACCCCTGAAATTGTGACAGAGAGCAGTTGCAACCTTGGAGTAAAACTTGAATGGGGTTGAAGTATCTTCCAACTCAATGAGTCTACCAACTGGATCTTCCTCAGCCAGCCTGAGTCTCCATTTGATCCAACCTCGTCTGTGTAAACCTTCCCTATGGGGTTCCTCAAGCGGCAGGAAACTAATTTCTCAGGTTAGGAAGAAATTGCACAGATGAAAAAACATGGCTTTGGTGAGGAAAATTCCTTCTGGGATATGATAATGAAATCCGACAACAAACTGATTACCAAGATATACAAAAAACTCTTAGAGTGGGCCACTGAAATAGAACAAATAAAAGAGTGAATGATCAAATGGGCTTCCAATGTAGGACATCCAATAAAATTAGAAAAATTGGAAAAAATTGGAACCAAAAGATTAAATATACCTATGTGAATGAACTAAAGGAAAATTGGATGAAAAAGATTATATAGGTGGTATATAACTCCACACAAAATTTCAAAATGCTATAAAAATGCTTCGGACAAATGTTGGAAATGTGGGCAACAAACTGGAACCTTTTTTCATGCCTGGTGAACTTGTTCAGAAGTAAAAAAAGTTTTGGACAGAGATCCATACTGAGATACAAAAATATTAAATATAAAGATAGCAAAAGAATCTGAATATTACTTGTGAGGCATGTTGGATGTGGCGGAAGATAAAGACAAAGAAATTCTTTTCAATTAACTAGTTATTGCAGTGAGAATTGCAGTTGCTAAAAATTTGAGACAAAAGGAGATTCCTAAAAAAGAGGACTGGCTGAAGAAAGTTTCGGAGGTAATGAACATGGACAAGCTTATCTAATGAATTACCCCCAACCAAGGACTTCTAAAAAAATGAATTGGGACCTGGTCAAGAATTACCTTAAACTATTAAAGTAAGACTTAATAATATGATTAAACAAATACCCACAAAAGAAGATCAGAAACTGCAGGGATGTTCAGACAAATTTGTTCTTTACCCCTTAGAGGGTCCAATAACTATGAATTCACAACCACCGAAAAAATAGAAGGAAGTCAAACCATTTATGTATTTATTACTTTTTTTCTGTGTCTGTTTTTTTTTTAAATTCTCTCATTTTCCAAGCGTTCCTATCCAGAAATTGCTCTCACTCTTTCATTGTTTTACTTTCTACTTATTAATGATATAACCCAATAAAAATCTAACTCGGGGGGAAAAAAAGAAAGAAATTGCACAGATCTTTTCAACCCCTCATTGGACAGACAAAGGTTCACCACTTCCCAGGGAACATCCCAGCACATTAGCAAACACACCACCACCACCCCTTCAGGTAGCAGAACTGCCAGGCCACCCGCAAGCTGGAAAGCACAGAGTTTAACCTGCCGCCGTGACCTCGGCCTCTTCATGCCTTCTTCGCTGGGAGCTGTACCCGCACCAGGCCTCTCTGTGGTAGATACAAGATTGTTGCCTCAGCAGGCACTGTCTAGTTAGTTTGCTTCCTGGCAAAGCCACAGGGAAGCTCCCCTGAAATGAATTTGGAGGTGCCAAGCTGGAGAGCCCCAGCACCCAGGGAGGGCTCAAGCATTTTCCTCCTTGTAAGACCTTGGAGGGGAAGAAAACCCTCAATTGTTCTGGATGATGAACATCTGTCCCAACAGGCTGCTGGCAGGGATGGGGCACACAATCCGCTTGGGGCACCCACACTTCTCATCCCAAAGTGACTGTGTTCTTTCTATACAAAAAAGTGACTGTGTTCTTTCTATATTTTCACTTCCCAGCATGAAAATCTTCTCGTCTCCTTTCCGAACTGGGTTGGATCAAATGGAGACTCAAGCTGGTACCAGTGCGTGAGGAAGACTATTTGATGACCCAAATCGGTAGACTTGTTGAGTTAGACTTGACTCCAAAGACCATCTAGGGCAGCCCCATCCAAGACTGGACTCCAAGGGGGCTCACCAAGGTGCCGGATGTCATGGCTTGACTATTTTCAGAACCTTAGAGAGCTCCTTCAACTCCTGCAGCAGATTCAAAGCCCTACTGACAATGAAAGGCGTGCACAGGAGGTGGAGGGAGGTAGATAATTTCATTTCGTGTTGATTTTAATATCAGTTTTAACTGGCTTTCATTTGCCTGACTCTCGGTGATGAATGATTTAATATATTCCTAGCATTTTAAATAGCTATTGCTGTTTGTTTTGATTTGATTGTGCTTTGGGATTTTTAGATATAGGACATATAAATATTGAAAGAGAGGGAGGAGGGAAAGAAGGGATGGAAGGAGGATAAGAAGAAGGGAAGGGAAAAAGAAAATATTGGTTTAAGGGAGAAAGGAAGACCCCAAGACACTACAAGATGAGTTTTCCCGGCTGATTGTAGATCCCAACAAAGTTGGAACTGGGAATTTATCTGGTGGATATGCCTACAAAGAAGTGTGCCTCTCTATCCCACTGGAGGCCCAACTCTAGAGACCAATGGTCTCTAGAGTTGAGCCAACATTTCTGCTCACCAGGGCAGAAGGTCAGGACATTTCTTATCTTGTCTCCCAATAAAGCACTCGTCCCGGGGGGGGGGGGGGGGGGGGGGAGGCCCTGTTGGAAAAATAAACTTGTTTGTTCAGTGAACTGTAGCTGCTGCTGCCATTTCTTATGCCTATTAAGGCAAGAGCGGAAGGGACTGCCAGGCGGGTCAGCAGCCTTTCTGCAATCTATTAAAACCCGGCCTATTAATGCGTTCTGACAAGGGGCATGTGGCTTGAGATATGGCCCAGTGTGCAGCCCAGTTTCTGTTGGAAATAACAACCTTCTTCAAGCCTCCACTAGTTATTTGTTATGTATATAAATGAGATTGCTTACTGTATTGTATGTGTGTGTATGGTATGCAATTTTACCTTAACTCTTTGTTGTGGGAGGGACTGCAGACCATGTGATCAGATCTGGGCTTGTTCAGGACTCAGACTCCATTTTAGATCTCAGACTCCATTGGACTTTCAGACTAGATAGGGACTTCATTAGACTCTCAGAACCGAGAGATGCTTTGGACTATGAACTGTTGATTGTAAGAAAGATGCCCTGTGTTACCTACACAGTGAAACTACTTCAAATCCTATCTGTAACTGGACTGATAAGCAAAGTACCTGTGTGCTGAATTCATGAAGTTTGTGAGTAAACAAACTATGTTACTTTTAAAGAAGTCTGCTTATTTTTGTCTCTTGAGAGCATGATTTAAAGGAAAATATATTTTAAGGGAGAGTAGATGTTTTAGGGCAAGTAAAAAGAATGCTTCTGAAACTCTGCTGTATGTGTGTGTGCTTTTTGTGCATTGCCATACCTTTGTCCCTAACAGTTCAAATACATACCCAGGTACATCAGTTTAACAGCTGAGAAACCTAATTGCCTTGCATGAATACCATTTTCCTAAAAGGTTATGGCATCATTTTTGAAAAGGTTATGGCTTCTAACAAGGTCATGCCTTTCCAAAGATCATAAAATCAACAGAAGGTTATGGAGATTTCCCTTTTCCAAAAGGTTTGAGGCATTTCCTTTTCCACTCGAGTGTTCTTTCAGGTGAAAATTGTAGCATGTCCAAATCTGGTCAATGTTTCTGGGTTGGAGGTGGGATCCTCCAACTCAGAGTGACTCTCTTGCATGCCTAAAATCCTTTGATTTACTATGGGTCTGGGCAACTGTTGCAGAGGGCAGGGTGGTCATAAGTCCTGTCTGGCAGACACAACAACAACAACAACAACAAGGACTTGGATGGTACAGGGGAGCAATGAAGGACTGTTCTTCTGTCGATCGGGGCACAACAAACTGATGTCTCCCTTTC